ACCGACAAACCGACATGACACTTAATTCTGACTTATGCCCGAAAATCGTAAACGGTCGATTTAAATGTGCAGTGATCTGAACTGTCAAAACCATAGAATTTTTAATCTAGATAAACATTATTTGTCCAGAAATGATCAGACACGAACCAATTCATAACTTTTGCTTGGCTTAGCTAAATATTTCCCGGGAACACGGAGCCAGATGTCAGTAGTGTGCTTTGGTCAGAAATTTTATTGTTTTTGCTATGGGCATTCTTGTCGGTTTGTCGGTGGTAAAATAACAATTTTACTTTGAATTTCATGCTACATTATAGAAAAAAAAACACTCATAGGACATTTTGACTAGTCAAGTTGTACATCGGACATGTTACATTGGACAATTTTTCTCAATGACATAATCAATGAGTTTTACATTGGAGGTATTGTTCTTCATGATACTAGATTCCCTTTCACAGATTTCAGAGTACAGTACCTAACTTTAGATTGGCCCCGCCTTTAGAAAATGAGCACCAATCATGTTAGGCAGTCCAAATGACCAAAGTAACAATCATGTACGCATAATTTCAAACTGTACATTGGACAATTTTTGACCTATGATTATCTTAAATCAATGAAAGTAAATTTGGATGAGTGTTTTTATAACACATACAATGATAGAAGAGCAATAGTTTGTATCGCTTTACTCAATTTGTTTACATTTGTTACTTAGAACCTTTTGAAAAGTGACGCGAGGATTGTCATGCTTTTCCTGTTCTGAACTTCGATCGGAGAACTATTCACTCCCAAATAGTTTTCCTTAAGCAATCAGAATAAGAATGTTATAGTTGATACATGACAGTTGCCAGTATTCAATCTACGATAGAATTATCTTCACAGAAAGATCGATCTTGATGGATCGATCTTATATTTGGCTCTAGAATCGATCCACTGATTAAATCGGTATTTACCAAATAATCGATATTTGGTAAATCGATTTTATGGTTTTAATTTTAATTGACCTTTCTGATGTTTCAAGTGCTTAGTTTGCAATCCTCACATTCGCTCTAGCCAAAAATGTTGTTATTGTTATCCTCAATTTTGGACCATCAATAGTCTTGCATATAGAATGGACTATACACTTGTTTACGTTGGTACCTCAAGAAATTCTTTCTTTTATACTATTAAATTGAATGTTGTCGTGACGGTAAGGAGCAATGAGCACAGGAGGGAGGTAGCGAAAATCTTCAAATGTTGCTGTATTCGTAAATATCGGAAACGCAAATAGTGACGTCATTATAGGGAGAGATGCTGATGTTAACGTTATGTTCGTTAAATTTACCATGCAGTCCGGAGTGAGAGTAAATCGTTTTTTCGGTGTCAAAACAATTACAAAATTTAACAACAATTTATTTTGAAGATTGAAAGAAGAGATCGATTATTTCGATTTTTTTCGTGGACAAAGAATCGATTCAAAAAATCGGAAATCGGGATGAAAAAGATCGATCTTCCAAAGATCGATCCAAGATCACCCAATCCTGATCTACGAATTAATCCGTTACACACGCAACGCAACGCAACGCAATCACAATGTTTGAATGCACTTTTTTGGCGTAGACAAGCCAATTTTGGCCTTACAACATCTGTATTCAGTATTGGTGAGTCGCAAGCTAATAATGTTTTTTCAAAGTGGGTTGCAATCGACACAAGTTTGAGAACCGCTGCTTTAAACTGATCGATCTAGCTGAAATATCTACATGTTGTTCTACAGCGATATCGCTGTGCAACACTTGCTCGACCATTCTATTTATACATGTATGGAAGACGCAGTGTAAAATTTATAAAAACGCTGCAAAAGTACACACCAGAAGTTCAAATCCCGTTGGTTTCATAAATGCTTCCAAAAATCGATTATACAATCGATTTTAACAGCTTTGAATTGCAGCTATAAGCTGTATATTGAGAAACATGTCTATAGCAGTAGTGTAAACGTTTATTAGTTGCTGGTATTCAATTTGACTGACAAGCTGAATAATAGTTGTATAAATTCTGAATAGGCGCTACTTATACTACTTTGACATATGTTGCTTGTAGATGAATCTACAGCTTTTATGCAGCTGCTTTACAACACGAAACTGCAAAAAGTAAGCTTACATAGCCGAAAATGTTTGTTGGGCATCCCTACCTGATCTCTCTTAGATAACTACGTTGGCTATGGCGAGAGAGAGTGTACAATAGCGAAGACATCATATAAAGAAGATTGGCAACTTTGCCAGAATCCAAGCGACAGATACAATAGCGCTGCGCTTGAGTGAATGTGGAAGCAACGCATAGAAAAATGAGCAAATACACAAACCCTTCTTCTAAGGATGTAATCTTTGCTATCAAATTCGTTCGAAGCATTTACTTTTGAGCGACAGATGACGCGATTGTACCTGTCTCATAGCGTTCGTATGCGAAAATGGAAGAGTTGCCAGTCTTCTTGATTTGTTGTCTTCGACAATAGGTAGGTATCACAGAGTTGCAACTGAAAACCATCGACTAGATGATTACATCAAAGGACGAATTGGGTGGATAAACATCGATAGAACTGTTTCTTCATAGTGAGAAGAATAAAGGGTGTCCACGATGAAATTGCCACACTATGAAATTGCTCTAACTTTTTAACCGTTGGGTAGAATTTAATGAAAATTTGGGTGGATTTAGTTCATAGTGCAAATCCGAACGCCTCCGTTAGGGATGTGGCTAAGAAGCTGCACCTAAGCCGAAGTTTTGTCCAGAAGGCCAAAACTAAGGCTGGGCTTCGAACGTTCAAAGTACAAAAGGCCCCTAATCGCGATGAGAAGCAGAACAAGTCCGCCAAAACCCGTGCCAGGAAGTTGTACCTCAACATGCTGACGAAAGTTGAATGCTGCATCATGGACGACGAAACATATGTGAAGGCCGACTTCAAACAGATCCCCGGCAACCTGTTTTTCACGGCCAAGGATAAGTTCAGCGTTCCGGAGCATGTCCGCACTCAGAAGATGTCCAAATTTGCGAAGAAATTCCTGGTTTGGCAAGCCATCTGCACGTGCGGGAAGCGGAGTGCACCTTTCGTGGCTGCTTCCTCTCCTGAAGGCCCACAACGTCCCAACAATCTTCTGGCCGGATTTGGCCTCATGCCACTACTCCAAGGACGTGCTGAAGTGGTATGCGGACAATAAGGTCAATTTCGTGCCGAAAATGTTCCAACCCTCCCAACACTCCGGAGCTCCGCCCCATCGAGAAGTACTGGGCGATTATGAAGCAGCACCTTCTTAAACGACCTAAGGTAGTGAAGACAGTCGAGGAACTGAAGAAAGTATGGGTTTACATGCAAAAAACGGTTGATTCACAGGTTGTGCAGAATCTTATGGCCGGGGTTAAGGCCAAGGTGCGGGCATTTGCGTATGGACTGTACATAAAATACGAGTAAAATGGTAAAATGAAGTTTAATAGTTATTTCTCAATCCCTGAAAATTTGATGGCAATCGGATGAAAACTCGAATTTTGCGAATCAATTTTGTGTGTGGCAATTTCATCGTGGACACCCTTTACCTTTTTAATTCGAACTTGGACCATTTGCTTGCTTATCCGTGCATTGTTGTTTGGTAAAGCAACTCATGCTAGCAGTAAATCAAACTCAAGCTCATTCATGATCATCTTTGTTAACGATCGATGGATTGATTAATTTTCATAAAATATAAAACAACCATCTTTCAAACAACGAACGTTCTTTTGTTGACCTACAGATATTTCCATATACAGGAATCCCTCCAGCTAATTAAGCTGATTTTGACGTAGGACTACGTCTTTGATTTTTATATGGGGGTACACTTTGTGAAAACCGAAAATGAAACATGTAACAACATTATGAAAGATTTTGATCGTTAATAACTCAGCTGCCCCTGGACTAATTTCAATAATTTTAGCACCAATCGATCATAAATATTCCTACGCAAATTTAAGACTTTATCATTTTTAAAAATGCCACTATTGAAAAATGTACGAATATGCAACTATTGCTATGATAGTTAAAATTATCACCGATTGCCTGCGAAAAGCGATTTCCCTAACACAGATTTCAAAGTTCAATTGCATCCGGTCTCACCAAACGGTGTTTATTCAATCACCGCGTGGTGAGTGGTGGTGTTCTCCGGTTACACAATGAAAGGCTCCCCGCAAGCAGCTAGCAATCAAGGCTGACCTCAACCGCTAGTTCCATTTATCGTGTGTGGTGATCTCCGGTCGTCGGCATCAGCAGCAGCAGCAGCAGTGCTTTCGGTACGTGACGTAGAACATTGTTCTCTAGTACACAACGAAAATCTGCCTGCAAGCAGCGAGCTACATCCCACATGAGCATCCATAGAAGGAAGAAGAAGCCGCACCGCCATTGATGGGAATCAGTAGCTCTTCGTGAGTCGCTGTGCGTCATCTATGCCAAGCGCGTCATACTAAAGAGTTTAAACAGAGAGAACCCCGCTCAAATTCCTATTCCTACACAAAACACAAGCTCCTGCTGCAGTTAAAAAATAACATTTATTATATAAGACCACGTAGTCTTATGTCCCCATTGCGTACAATCCCATAGGGCTGTCCCTTATAGTTTTGTTTTATGTGATTAGTGTCAAGTCAACCATATTTAGTAATAACCCGATTTTGGTAGCCCCGCGGAGCATCATACTTTTATCTTTCAATAATTTCACATAACCGTAATTCCAAATCTTTCTCATTCATCTTCAAAATGGATATTTAAAGCATACTTTGATGCACTAAGGCCACTGGAAAAAGCGCATGGGTTTCGCACAACATTAGAAAAGATTTTCAAAAAGGGGGCTGACTAAATCGGGTCATTCCTGTAATAGTCACCTACAGCAAATCAGCTCAATTGGTTGGAGGACAGCCGAGAAATAGTGGTGAACAGAAACGGCTCACCATCTTACAGGTTACATTTTCCAAAGTTTCTAACAACATAAAACACACTAGGTTTTTTACCCACATACCTTAGCGTTACCGGTCCTTTGGCACAGCACAGACAACACCTAACTTTCTTATCCTGAGCCGTAATCGGCTTCTGTCCGGGGTGCATGGGGAATAGAAATAAGAAAGAGTGAAATGTACGACACATTCAAATAATCCCATCTCCGGTGTGATGTCACCAACCGTCGAACGCACCCCATAATAGACGTCTTCGGCCGCAACAGTTCCCATCCGTTCACAAATACCTACCAGATATTGCTCGTCCATACAGTCGATGTGTGGTCCTACAACGGTGAAATATTTGATTCCTTGTGGCGGGGAGGCATAGGGAATGTCGATGGTAACCTTCAATGTGGGCGTGGAATAAACGAAAATACAACAAAATGATCAGCGAGACACATCACATAACTTGATATCCCCCCCAACAGCCTAACCTTATCCTTAATCGTGTCGCCTGTTCCGGATCAATCTCCGCACCCGAACCTCATTGCATGACGTCTGAGTTTGCCAATCAAAGTGAAAGGAAAATAGCAAAAATCTCATACCTAATGCCCAGCACTGGATCTTTTTGCATAACTGGAAAGCACGTTTAGTTTACCAAATCGAATCCGAAATTGATTGTGTGAATATTTTATATGATTTGAGCCGGAGGGTTACTTTTGCATGTCGGAACGATGGGTGTATGTTACGATCTCTTCCACATTGGTAGGTTTTCACTTCCTGTGGTAAACATCGGAACACGTAAAAGTGCTGAGTGTGCGGCTGCATAATGTTGTTAAGAAGACGAATAAGTGACTCGTGAAACTCGACTGTTTTTGTTTTCAATGAGCTCATCATTTAACAGAATTGGGAAAACATCGAGGATCAATGGGGGAAACCTTTGAAACTTTTATGATTAAAGCGAAAAACCCCGTGAATACATAAACACAGAATACGATACGTTAACGTTTGGCGTGAGATGTCAAAGGGAGCATGTACAAGAAATTGAAGAAGAAATCCTTCGTTACGACTTTCCTATACCTTTTGCATTGCTTGTCACAGATTTCTAATACTTACCTCCTCTCCGTTAGAGTGATGCGTACTTACAATTATGGAAATTCGTTTTTGTGTTTTGTGAGGGATTTTGATTTTGGTAATTTCGTTTGACAATCAAGACATTTGAATTGATATTGGTGTGCAGGCGATTGGGATAATATGTTGAATTGTATAACTTGCCAGCTATGATTCACTTTGGTACGATACAATACAAAGTTTTGAAGAAGTTAATGACGAAATAAATCCAATAGCGTCTGTACGAAATTGAAACTCATAGGACGGATTTGGAATCAACAAGTAGGGTAGATGTACTAGTCATGGTTATACGTTCAAATTATGGAGTGTTCCAATCAAGGCATATGGGAATACTTGGAACACATCATAATAGGAACGTTTAGCTATGCCTGGTAGGGGTTTTCATCTAATTTCCGTCATACTAAGCACATCCCGCACTTTACCTCTCGTTTTTGAAAGGGTTTGAACAAAACATGGAATGTTTTCATCAAAGATAATTTCAAAATTTATTTTCACCTTTTCATACCGTTGGATTTGATAAAGAGTCAATCAGTGTTGAGATATGATTAAAAATCTAACACTGCTTCTCCATTCTAAATTCGTCCTACGAGTTTCAATTCGTCTAACGCATTGACACGCCATTAGATTTTCTTCGTCCTACGACGATGGTACGATAAGTGGATTCGCTAGGAGCGCTTCTTTTGTTTTGAAAACAATGAGTGTAAATATTCATACAATGCGCTGCAATAGGCTTCATGTTGTGGCTTATGAACTAACGGATCGGATCAAACGTATTCATGTTTTGTGCATGGTGAAATCATTGATATTATTGATGATTTCTGCTCGATAGAACGGAAATGGGCGATTACGACGAAATAGCGCTCTTCCCTATATCACCTCCCCTAGAGATGTATTTCTTATTTATATTTTGTGTCTCTTTATCAAATCAAATAGTACACATGGTAATCTTTCCTGTTTTGAACAAATTCTATCAAGAAAGATAGATACAGCGTGTGTTGTGCTTTTCTTTTTTTGGTCTGTTCGGGACATACCACTACGACCAGTAATTTGATCTATTGTAGTAGGGGAAATGGATGTAAGGTCGGCCTAAATGCCCCTAATTTGGGCCCACACATAAATTCAGCAATCGACTAAATTTTCAATAGCGACCAAAAATATCCATTAGTACCGTCCCAATGACACGTTCATCTAGATAAAATTGATAAATAGTATACATTCAAAGTGTTTTTATGTTACTTCATACGTGAAGTTAGCGATTTTCAGAGTTGGTTGGAAATGCTAACATGAAGCTTTAGTGTGATAATTTATTAGCTAGAGAATGATCTTTAGAAGAGGGTAGGTGGATAGTTCCGTTAGAATACGGTAGTATGAAAATTGAATAGAAGTTGAAAATGAGCGAAGGGCCATTAATGCGACAGTATAAAGACAAACGCACATCTTTTGCCTAACCCGTACGATGTACGCGGAGACTTGAAGTATGCCCTAATAAAAATAACCATAAAAGAGAGCTTAACGACGTGTTCGGGGTATCATCCAAACCATTTGTGGGATAGTTTACCCATCCGGGATACAGTTCGTTTATGGTATTTGTTTATTAGGGTGTCTTCAAGTCTATTAGGCAAAAGATGTGCGTCCTCCTTTTGCTCATTACTGACTGCGGCTGTGGAATAGTTCTTGCGACGTTTCATCACTACCTAAAGCCCCACGTTGCGTGAGCATTTCCAGTCGATGATGTGTTATATTATAATGCAATAATTCTTCTTTACACAACTATTGTGTTGCTCCTCTCGTCATGACCAACTTGGTCATCTTAGAGAGAAAGCAGTAGGGTGGTTGTTGCGTGCTGTACCATCATCAGCATTGTTGACGGCTACTCCCGCCGTGTTTTTATGTTACTTCATACGCGAAGTTAGCGGTTTTCAGAGTTGGTTGGAAATGTTAAGATGAAGCTTTACGCACATCTTTTGCCTGTAGACTTGAAGACATACTTCAAGTCTCCGGGTACATCGTACGGGTTAGGTAAAAGATGTGCGTTTGTCTTTATACTGTCGCATTAATGGCCCTTCGCTCATTTTCAACTTCTATTCAATTTTCATACTGCCGTACTCTAACGGAACTATCCACCTACCCTCTCCTAAAGATCATTCTCTAATAATTATTAGCTAATAAATTATCACACTAAAGCTTCATGTTAGCCTTTTCAACCAACTCTGATAAATAGTAAATTTTTAGCGATGGTCCCAATCCTAGATCCATAGGCCAAGATTATAGCCATTTCCCCTATATCCCGAGTCATTAGTTTAGTGCATGTCGTACTACTCCACCATTATGGAGAAATTATGAAGTATTCGGTTTTGATACAGTTGTCATTCTTGCCTTCATCACAAGGAATCGATTCTAATTGAAAGGCGCACCCCTTTGTCAGTCAAGCTGAGATAAACTCCAAGCAAATTTTCAGGATAATCCTGAAGAAAATTCCGATTCAGATTACAATTACAAGACAATTCTGAGTAGAAACCCAAAATAATTTTGCCGATTATTTCATTCCGCAGATTTATGGATATAAATTTAAGTGAATTCTCTACAGAACTATTGAGAATACGAAGATTATTGTAGAGTGAATTGTGAGTGTTTCCTGAAGGAAGTTTCACTGATTCACAGTTATGCACTGCCTTTCGGAATGTTGAGGGAATATCAGGAATATTCATAAGATTATTCAGGCAAATCCTGAACGTAGCTCTTGGGATATTTCTAAGGAAATTCTAGGGAATGTTTCATAGAAACCCTATGAAGAACTATCTTCTAGTTATCTAAAATTTGTCAAGTTAATTCAGGTATTGAACATTTTTCAGGACCATGAATATTGAAATCCAAGATTCTTATTTAGGAGATATTCAGCCGGAGGCTGCTTCATCTCCGTGCATTCAAGATCCTGGAGGGGATACAGTAAGCCCATCCACATGTCCAACTGCGCCTATCAAATGAAGCAAATGTTTTTGAATACATCTGAACATACCAACTTGACAAAATCAGAAGCACCCAAGTTATTTCAGTTGGAAACTTTACTCACCGAAATACCGACTTGAACCTTAAACTTAACTCCTGATCGAGAATCCATAACGGCGGATTCAAATGTGCAGCATCCCATCTGTCAAAACCATAGACATTTCTTATCTAGATAAAAATAATTTGCCCGGAATAGATTAGACACGAACCAACTCATACATTTTGTATGTGTGTTCGTGGTTAGGATACACATTTTTCGCGAACACGGCGACAGATGTCAGTTTTGTGCTTTGATCAGAAATTTGATGGTACTTTGTGATTCATGTCGGTTTGTCGGTGCTTTACTTCCATTGATATGAGTGAGGGGGCGGATGGAGGGAGTGTATTAAGCTCCCCCCCCCCTCCAACAATGCATATGAAATAGATCTTCTTCTTCTTCTTCTTCTTCTTCTTCTTCTTCTTCTTCTTCTTCGCATTTCAAGCTTATTGCATATCGCATATTAGATTATTGCGTGCTCTCAACTTAGTGTTCTAGATCAGATGCACTTCCACAGTTATTAATTGAGAGCTTTCGATGCCTGTACCATTTTTGCATTGGTATAATTGTGTGGCAAAGTCCAATCATACTTCTATGCCCAGGGAAGTCGAGAAATTTTCCAACCCGAAAATTCCTAGACCGGACCGGGAATCGAACCCAGCCACCTCCAGCATGGTCTTGCTTTGTAGCTGCGTCTTTACCGACTGAGCTAAGGGAGGCCCCATAGATCTATTGTATTTGAATAATTCATCTGACATTCGAAATCCATAAGATAAGAAACTCCAAATTTCTTTCAGTTTGGAATCTGACTTCCATTGGTACACCGGCAGTGTTGGCAGAAAAAGTGATTTTAGGCATTTAATGCAATCCATAAATATTTGAACGGTTATAACTTATAGAGACATTTGGGAACCTAAAATGGAACCAAAAAAGAGTTGTTCTCGCTTGGTGCGGTAGAGTTTGCGTTTTTTCATATAACGGTATTAACCTAAACTAATGTAGTTGAAGATGCTAATTTCAAATTACAGACTGTAGTGGTAATTTTTATATGATAGATGGAGTAGATGAAAGCATAGAGTTGATAGTTCCGTTAGAGTACGGCAGTGTGAAGATTGCATATAGATATTAGAATAGCGAGCTAGGACAACTTTTAAGGAAGGTACAAAACCGTGTCCCCTCAAGATCATCAAGTTGACGATGACAGGAGCACATATCGTGGCAGGGGTAAACAATAGTTGCAATTTCCAAACCTACGACTTGATGCCTTCCTTCAAATAACAACTGAAGTGCGGTAAAAAATCGGTAGAACTGTTCCAAACACACCGTTGGTACTTGAGCGGTCGGCTTTCGGAGGGGGGGACACCCCTCACCATCTCTCTCTAAAGGGGGAGTTTGGTAAAGAGAGATGACAAAACCGATTTGTACCTTCCTTAAAAGTTGTCCTAGCTCGCTATTCTAATATCTATATGCAATCTTCACACTGCCGTACTCTAACGGAACTATCAACTCTATGCTTTCATCTACTCCATCTATCGTATAAAAATTACCACTACAGTCTGTTATTTGAAATTAGCATCTTCAACTATGTAAATCGTTGACTTCACGCAGAAGTAATACTAAAACATATAGTCAAAGTAATAAACTAATGTTTCAAATTTCTATGTACAGTCGAATTGTATGGGTGAGTGAAATCAGCAGCCTGCATACAATTTCAACCTGGATAAATCTAGAAAGCTCAAGGTCTTTCAACTTATTTTTGTGTGTTGCTAACCTACGTGATTTTTAGGACGAAAATTATAATTAAACCATAATAATAAAAAATATCAATCCGTTTCGATAAAGTTCACAAATGCACGTCAATTAAAAGAAATTTCCCGTTTTTAGTGTAGCCTACTTCGATCTCCTAAAGCCCGATTCAAAGTAAATGTGGACGCATTCAAGTGATCATAACTCAAGAATTAAACAACACTCACGGTTGATCAAAACGTCAAACAAAAGGGTATTTATTCAGCTTTCAAACGATATGTAACAAGTTATTACATTTCACCGTTTCGAACGAACTGTCGCACTTTACTTGTGATCGATGCCATCATGATCTGCACAGTCGCTGGTGACACTATACCGGTGAACTTATTCCACTTTAAACGTATTTGTTGTGCATTTGTCACTTCTTTACCGCATCCTCGAAGTTTTCGCTTGACAATTTCCCAATATTTTTCGATCGGTCTGAACTCAGGGCAATTCGGAGGATTAATCTCTTTGGCGACGAAATTAACATTGTTTGCAGCATACCATTCTAGTACCTCCTAAGAGTAGTGGCAGCTGGCTAGATCAGGCCAAAACATAACGTTGGTCTTGTGTTGCCGATTGAAGAGTAAAATCAGCTTTTTCAAACACTCTTTAATGTAAACCTTCGACGTCATTGTGTGAGATGTGATGAAAACCTTGGTTTTAAGGCCACAACTGCTGATTCCTTGCCAAATCATTAGTTTCCGAGCAAACTAACAGCAAAAACAATTGTATACCTGGAAGGGACATCCCCACGACCAGTTGCTTGGTAAAATTTTCGTCCGGGATTTGTTTATAATCCATTTTGACATATGTTTCGTCATCCATTAAAATACAGCCATCAAATTTCGTCAAAACTCGTTCGTTTAGTAATCGTGCTCGCTTTTTGGCCACTAAATTTTATTTCAGGGAGCGTTTCGGATGTTTACTGGCACAAAAAGACTTCCCATCAAAGAATTGAGAGCTCTTATAAAACACCTGAGTTGATCAAACGTTGAATAATAGCTTCCAGAGTTGAACAAGAATGTAGTTGTATTGCCATTTGATTAAAAGTTTTAAAAGCTGTTGGAGCACCTTTAAATGATTGTTTACGTTCGGTTTACCTATATGCTTTATAAGACCTACGAGAACTTTTATAGCACCTTAGACAAACCGATTAACAAGAGCTATATAGAACGTCGAATAAACGCATCAAAATAAACCATTGGGAGCTCTTATACAACACCTGAGTTGATCAAACGTTGAATAATAGCTTCCAGAGTTGAACAAGAATGTAGTTGTATTGCCATTTGATTAAAAGTTTTAAAAGCTGCTTGGAGCACTCTTAAATGATTGTTTACGTTCGGTTTAACTATATGCTTTATAAGACCTACGATAACTTTTATAGCACCTTAGTTAAACCGATTGACAACAGCTATATAGAACGTGGAATAAACGCATCAAAACAAACCATTGGGAGCTCTTATAAAACACCTGAGTTGATCAAACGTTGAATAATAGCTTCCAGAGTTGTACAAGAATGTAGTTGTATTGCCTTTTTGGTTAGAAGCTTCAAAAGCTGCTTGGAGCACTCTTAAATGATTGTTTACGTTCGGTTAAACTGTTTGACAGGAGCCATATAGGATGTGGAATAAATGCATCAAAACAAACCATTGGGAGCTCTTATACAACACCTGAGTTGATCAAACGTTGAATAATAGCTTCCAGAGTTGAACAAGAATGTAGTTGTATTGCTGTTTTGGTTAGAAGCTTAAAAAGCTGCTTGGAGCACTCTTAAATGATTGTTTACGTTCGGTTTAACTATATGCTTTATAAGACCTACGTTAACTTTTATAGCACCTTAGTTAAACCGATTGACAAGAGCTATATAGAACGTGGAATAAACGCATCAAAACAAACCATTGGGAGCTCTTATACAACACCTGAGTTGATCAAACGTTGAATAATAACTTCCAAAGTTGAACAAGAATGTAGTTGTATTGCCTTTTTGGTTAGAAGCTTCAAAAGCTGCTTGGAGCATTCTTAAATGATTGTTTACGTTCGACCAACCACCAACCACAATTTTGTTGCTAAAAATAGCACAAGTGATACCTTTACTCTCTACTAAATTTCAAAGCAGCTGTCAAGAAGTGTCTACAAACGTTGTATACGAGCTTTCACCAAAATAATAAAGCTTGAGTTTAAATATGTATCTATAAACGTTGTATAAAAGTTGCTTCTACTCCTATACCGCGTATACATATAATGCTGTAGTTGAACAGGTTCTCCAAACCAGTGTAAACAAGAGTTTTACAGAAGTTGTAATAAACAAATTGTACAGTTATTATTCAGCATGCAGTTGAATAAAATCACAATGGAAGCGTTTCTTCAACAAGAAATTGATTTTGGGTAAACGTTTTACTGAATACGTTAGACAACACCTTTGTGTTGCAGTTGTATAGGTTCTCCAAACCAGTGTAAACAAGGGTTTTATAAAAGTTGTGGTGAACACATTGTGCAATTATTATTCAACATGCAGCTGAACAAAATCAAAACGAAAGCGTTTCTTCAACTGGAAATTGTTACTTGGGTTATATCCTTCTCTTGAAAGGATGTTACGCACGGTGGAAAAGTTGGAATTGTATTTCTTTGCCAAATCACGTATGGAGACACCTGGGTTGCTTTTCACGTACCTCAACACCTTTCTCCTCAGCTCTTTGTCCCTAGTGCCACTTTTATGATAGATGCGCTGTGCTCTATCCACACTCAGAGTATCCTTGTAACGTTTGATTACAAGACTCACCGTTGACTTTAGGAGTTTTAACACTTTTGCTATTTTTGAGGCAGATCACGAAGGGTTCTCTAGATGTTTGTGCACAATTAATTTTCTTTTCTCAAGTTCCATGATCCGTAATTTCGGGATGCGTCGATCAATCGAGAAAAACTTTTCACCAATTTCTTCGTCAATGAAACGTTTTTTGTTCCAACCACCAGGGGCGCGGTGGTGTATTAAACCGTGCGTCCAGATTTACTTTGAATCGAGCTTTATGTTATAATCAGAAATTCGTATGTTTACAAACTACCAAGCGTTCTACCAATCTATCATGACGGCAAAATATTTGAAGCTTCCTGGAAAAAATAATAATATAATTACCATAAAATAAAATACAATCACAACACTATCTATTGCCAACAAACGATAATATTGTATGTACATCATACAAGTAAAGTAAAAATTGTTATTTTATTACAATAGATCTATAATACGTCCCATATTTATAGTATGAATTTTCAACAATCGAAAAACTATCAAATTAATGGTAAATGGCTCAAGTTTGTTCGGGAAAAAGTGATTTTTTTGTAGGTTAAGATTCATAACATCCCCCTTGATCTATTGTAGATTTCCCCATTTACCATAGATTCTATTGTGGAAACAATCGTTGTGGATAGTACGATTTATTGTTAATACAATAAATTCTATTGTTTGGTTACAATACATTTCATTGTACCTCTATAGTTCCTTTTTCTCGGGTTATTTTTTTTATGTTTAAACCTGATTCACTACACTATCTTGTGGGGCGGAGATTGTCCGGGAACAGAGAATTCCGAATACCATACACGCGCTCCGCATACATAATACATATTTTTTCCCACGTCCGGGAATGAATAAAATGCCTTACCTTAACAAAATAACGAATGTAACAGGCACGTGACTCGAAACTGCAGGGCAAGTTGGTTTCCGGAATGTTGAAGCGGAAGGGGAACTGATGCTGACCGCGAATCAGCACCGGTACGGTGACGTCTAGTCCCTCGCAGGTCCGTTCGCCCCATATGACAGCTCGCTCATCAATGTACAGCTGGTCGTCTTTCACCTAGCATTGCATTGGAGGGAGTCGTTGGCAAAAAAAAAAAAAACAGCAGCAAAAATTAAAAGTGGAACAAACAAATAGCCGAAAAGGCCACATGAAAAGATGAAAAAGAGTGTCTGCCGGCAGTTAAAACGGTTTCATTCTGATGTTGGTTCTGTTGAGAAAACCGTTAGTGGGTGGGTGTGATTGCACATGAATAGATTTGAATGGTTGTTGTGAAAGGATGTCGGTTTAAAGTGCATTTTTTTTTCCTTGAAAGAATAATGGTCGGCACGATGTTCAAAGAACAGATCTATGGGGGATGTCCATGAAATACAGAGCTTTACACCATTCAAAAAAAAAGAATGAAATTACACATTTCTCGTGCATTCAAATAAATATTCCATGTTCAGCTCATGCAAATCATAGTGCTTAATGAGGGTTCCTTTGGGGATGTTCCCTTACCCCTTTTTCCCATCTCTTTACGAGTGTGCCAGTCTGTGACACTACTCGGCCATTTAGCATGCATTGTATTGCTGCCAGTTATTAGCATTCCGAAACAAGACAAGGCCATCCCACTCAGTTTCACAGTGTATTAAGAAGGGTGAAATGTGAAAAGTTGTGAAAGTTGGTTTCTTGTTTGGATAGGACTATCATCGCTATGCCCAGTGTGGTGCTATGGATGCTGTCTACTACCTAATGTACCTACAGCTGTGTGTGACATAATTACCGTTCTCTTGTCTCCGGATACGAACACCTTCCACTCGACATGAGCCTTGCCTCGAAGCAGTAGGCGGATGGCTGGAACGAGAAAATAGTGTGGTTGGAAAGTTTTTTTTCCTAATACACAACACCTGTCAAGTTATGGGGAAGGGTGTAGTGTAGGTGGGTGCTAGGTGCTAAGTAGTCGGGAATATCGAAAGGTAAAAACGAAAGTGTATGGAATAATAAACAAAATTCAGGCTGCTAAAAGTAGGTGGTACGGAAATTTTAGTCTCCCGAAAGCTTTGGCCAGCTTGAATAGAGTAAAGAAGACAATGCTCAATGCCATATCTCTTGTTAGGGGATGAAACACCGTGTCTGAGATGCTCGTGTTTTGCAGTCTATGTATTCATCCCGACTTTATCGATTATATTTAATTTCCTATCATTTTAACTATTTATTATTTATTATTTATTTTACAGGAGTCAGTATCTTTTTACTGGGGTTTTGAATTGCTGAAAAAATCGGTTAAAATTCAAATGATCGTTATCCGTAAGGAATTAATGAAATCGACAAATTATATTTTCTATGGGGTTAACAGAAGTAAGTCTATACCAGTTCGGAATAATTTTCTTCTTTTTTTTTTTCCACAGATTTTTAAAATTTTACCGAACAGTTCCGCAGTTCATAAACCCCGTAAAACCTTACTGACTGGATTAGTGTGAACACTATGAAAAACACTCAACATTTAGTGACAACAGACGAGCAATACAATTCAATTAAATTTGCTTTTCACCTCGTAGCATATTTTTTGGTCTTGACACCCTTAACTTTAACTTTACATTAATGTTTTGTATACGCCCTATCATTTACATCAAAGGTTAATTGCGTTTCGGGAGAAATTCAGGAGTGTAGGAGAAAGCTTTTTACGAGAGCATATGAATGGGCTCGTGTGCCATTTACTTTTGTACGTTGTCCAAATTTGATTTTTTTTTCTACGTATCATTTCAGATTGTAAAAAGCAGTCGTCATTGCATTCCTTCTGAGCTAATCCACACAATCCAACATTGCGAAAATATAACCGAATTTCAGATTTTACCTCTCAGAATTCCAATCAACCTTTGCATAAGTGTGCAAATGTTCAGGGAATTCTGAGAATAATTATTCGCTAGAGGCAATAAACCAAGTTTGGGCTGGAATTCGGCCGTTTTGATACACGCCTAATTTTTCAAAATGGCGTATGCGATATTCTGATTTCGATTTTGAAATGATGTCTGAGACAATGTTGCAGGAAACTTGATTGCTTTTTCAAAAAAAAAAAAAATCACACTGTAAAAAATCTAAAAATGTTGGTCAAAAATGAAGAAAAGCTGTTAAAATATTTAATAGAAAAAAATGCACCTTGTTAAGATTTTTAAACTTATGTTTATTTGAAAGCTTACATAAAATGCTAACTTTTCTTATGTTGGACCAATAAAGAGGCTAGTCACCAAAATCGTAGAACATAAACTTTTACATTCAAAGTGTTTTTTTGTTCCTTCATACGTGAAGTTTACGATTTCCAGAGTTGGTTAGAAATGCTATCTAATATCAACATGAAGCTTTAGTGTGATAATTTAATGGCTAGGGGGAAGTTCTGAAGAGGATAGGTTGATAGTTCCGCTAGAGTACGGCAGTACTAGTCAAACACACACTTCTTTACCCAACTCATGCATTAATGGATGAGGAGAGTTGAAGTATTTCTTAAAATCTACAGGCAAAAGAGTGCGCGTTTGACTTACTCATATACTCTTTTGCCTGCAGATTTGAACAACTATTTCAAGTCTCCTCATTCATTAATATATGAGTTAGATAAAGGAGTGTGTGTTTGACAAGTACTGTCACATTAATGGCCCTTCGACCATTTTCCACTTCTATTCAATTTTTACACTGTCGTACTCTAGCGGAACTATCAACCTACCCTGTTCAGAACTTTCTCTAGCTAATAAATTATCACACCAAAGCTTCATGTGGATATTAGATAGTATTTTCAAACAACTATGAAAATCAACTTTTAGTAAAATTTTAGAACTTAGTCCACAGTTTCCCGTGCAAACCTTACATAAATTTAGCGAGGAAAAAAATGTAATTTTACTAAAAGTTTATGCGTAACGATTTTATCCCAATATCCCAAAAGTTATCACTTTTGATAAGCTTTCAAAGAAAGATAAGTTTAGTTTTTTTAAGTACTCTTTTAAAATTGTCTTAACAGTTTTTTTTTTCATTTCTTGTCCAAATGTTGTAATTTTTTACAGCACGTATTTTTTTATCTGAAAAGGCACTCTAATTTCCTATAATTTTGTATCGGCCTTTATTTCGATTAAATGATCCATTTTCGTACAATGATTTATTGAAAAATATTAAACAACAAATTTAAAAAAAAATAAAGCGCTTGTCAAAATGGCCGAATTCCAGCATTACCCCTCGCAAACAATTATGTAAATTTTCATGAAATTTGAAGAGGGTAAAGTTTGATCGATTCGTCGGCGTGGGTTTGCTTTTTGCATTCTAAAATAATGCGTCGACCAAAACTGGGTTTTTTTCTTGTTTTGTAAAACGTACCAAAGTAAATTGCCCCTTCAAGCTCTCTTAGCCACCATTCGAATGCTGAAAACTTTTTAAGTGCTACAGATTCTAAAAAGTTGATAATGATCACCCACCAGACAGTTGCTTTGCTTTCACACGCGACTACTTACATTTAAGTTTGAAATTCTCGGTTGTGTGCAGCATCACCTTGCCGGAGAGTACTTCTCCGGCGTAGTAGTATTCCTTATCAAGTCGAATATCCAATTCCTTTATGTAATCCATCTTGTCGTCGTCGTCGTCGTTGTTCAGGAGCGCCTGTCTGGAGCTGCCTCCAGTTGTCTGCCAGCAATGTTTCACTCACTGTTTGCAAATAAATCGTTCTTGCGTTTTGGTAGGATTCCCTTCACTGCATCACTCACTGCTGCTTCTTAGTTGGTGGTATGGAAGTAACCACAGTGTTGTGGTTGGAAAGTTTTAGTTTTTTGGCGGGAAATTCTTCTTCGTTAGGAAGTCAGCTTTCGTTTACCGTGGTAGGAAAAGTTTGTTTTCTTGCGTCACTTTCAATATAGGATGCACTTGATCCAGTAGCTGCTCTGTTGTAAGACATTTTCGCAGGTTTTTCCCGAGAGGGGCGCTCTATCTGCGATGCAGGAAAGATTTTGTTTTGCTGTGATTATCTGAGTAGATAGAAAGACGAGATTAATGACGATTCTGAAGATTCCATGCAAAAGATGATATGCGATGCAAGTAAATGCGAAAAATAATAGATGATTTTTCGAAGATTCATTCGTTAGTGTGAAATTTTTTGAGCATCTAGAATTGAGATTTAGATGTGTCACACCCCTCGGTTTTTACCTAGGTTTTCCTAGAGTTTCGTTTCATTAACTTTACACTCTTACAGCTTTGATTATAAACCTCATATACAGGGTGACTGGTAATTCGTGTTACACACGAAAGTAGGTGAAAGTAGCTCACATTTGCAGCAAAAAATTGTATGGCAAGGTAGGTCGAAAAATCATTCCTTGCCGAGTTATTGAGCAAATAATTTTCTACCGATTCAAAGTGCCTCATTTTGCTCGGATATTCATAAGCAATCAAAAATATTGCACGACACTAAACAGTTAGAACCTGATTAAATCCATTCAAAAGTAAAGCCTGTGGTAAGTAGTTAGTAAACAAAGATTGATCATAGTAGCCAAGCAATGCATACACCCTGGTGGGCTTTGGTAATATTCGGAGTGCCCAAGCAAAAAGTGGTAGTGTTGCTCGGCAATGTAAAATCAATAGATCAATAACTCGGTAAGGAAAGATTTTTCGACCTACCTTGCCATACAATTTGTTGCTGCAAATGTGGTCTACTTTCACCTCTTTTCGGGTGTAACACGAATTACCAGGGTGACTAAGATAGAAATATAGAGAAAACATAAATTTTCAACATCTTTCTCTCAATATTTTGGAAACATTTCAAGAAACTTGAAGTGATATGGCTCGTAATTGTAAATACAGAGATTCGCCGAAGTATTATCAGACGGTTTGGAAACGTGATTTGTTTAGTTTACAAAAGTTGCCAATACTTGCCGCGGAGCAAAATGTTTCTGGTTTTTGCGTGACAACGATTAAGTCTGCGCTACGAGTTTGTTTGTTTACGTTGTTTGTATTCTCAGGCTGTGTTCCATTTGGAAAATTTTAACTTAAATTTGACACTTCGAAAATAAATTAAGATGTTCGAATATCCCTCTGTTGTTGATCGGCCGATTTTCGAGAAGGTTTCTGTCAAAATTGATTCCTTGTCTGTCAGAAATAAGTCTGCTGGAATAGCAGGTTCATTTGAAAATTTTCCATCTGTCAAATTTAAGTGAAAATTTACCAAATGGAACACATCCTCAGTGAAGTAATTTTCCTTAAATTTCGAATAACATTTATTGAATATGAAGTGCATTGCCAAGTTTTGCCCTAACTGGGATCGAAGAAGTGCAACAAAGTGTAACAATTTGAGTTTCTTTTCCGGTTTCAGAAAATCACAGAAAATGGATGAAGTTTTGCGGAGTACCGTCGACTGCTTAGTGGATTCTAGGTGTTTGTACAGTGTACGTTACAATGATAATTTTTTGATGGTATCTAGGCGAAATGGCTCTAATGTCGTTCATCGTCGCAAATAAACACCACGTGGTAGACTAATTGAATGGTTGTTCGAAAAAAAAATCGTCTGTTAAAATTAATAACGTAGCCAATTGTGCTTCAATCATCTCAGAAAACGTATTCTACTTATAATTCACATGCCTACTGTACTCAGCAGCAGAAATAAAAAATTAAACTTCCCTTGAATTTATTTCACTGCGATTACAATATTTTTCAACTGAAACATTCTGGCAAACGATAAACATATTCGTTAGGGTCACATTTTGACAGTTCTCGCTGCTCGATAGGCGAATCCAATAGAAACTAAGCGATCGTTTCAGCCTCTGGTGGTAAATAAGAGAACCATCAAAAGAGTGATGATGGCTGAAATTTTCGCCGTGAAGCATAGGAAGAGGAAAATGTTTTTACCTTTTCTGATTATTTTATCCATCGCACGTGGTTGTTATCATCATCCACATGGAATATTTTGTTTTCTGTGTCGATTTTGCAGTGATCCGGTTGGTGCTTCAACATATTTTTGTTAAGAAAAGTGAAGATTTATGAAACTACCCCAGCGGTTATGATGTTCCGGATTTCTAATGTAGTGTTATTTGAGCTGTAAATCCGTTCAAATATATGACAAAAAAATAAGACCCCTCCCGATGGAAATATGCAAGATACGCATAACAATATGCGTTAATTTGAGATGTAAAAATTGTAATTTTGATGTAAACAAACGGTTTGGTTGACGTTTCCTCTCATAATCGCCTAGCGCACTCTACATTGGCGGTGCATAGAAACAGCATATTGACTCAAGATGGCCACTTCCGTGAATCTCAATATATTTAATTACTAGATAGGGCATATCAGCCATCCTGACTCCCATCTTTGGCTCTTCAAGGAATCATCTTAAGAGGAACATGACATAAAATAGCTGACGAACCATTGTCATTTTAATGTACCAGTTATGGCTATACCATAGAGGTAACTCTAAGACTAGAAGGTCCCGAAATAATGTGCTCAACTTTTTGGCTCAGCTCTGGTACTCTCTTCGGTCTCAAGCTAATCGATTCACCCCTCGAAACATAGAAAAAACCAATAACCCCTCATTTTATCTGTCAAACTTTCATAGCGAATCAAAACAAACATTGCGTAGTACTAGAATTTCGACTAGAATAGGGTACGTTAATCGTTTGCTTGGGACCAATAGGCTGCTAAAGTGGTGAGCCAATTTAAAATCGTTAGTTTCGTATTGATTGTTGGCTATACTGCCACTATAAGCTTAATTGTCCCATGTGTATATGAAACTCCATATAACATTGGACAATCATGCGTCCACCGGCAGTATGCGTTCATATTATGGTGTAATCGAAATATGGCCAATCATTCACATTTTTGCAAATATTCGGCCATTTTGGATGATGTCATTTTTTTTAAATGGCGTGTTTTTTATTTTTTAATAAATTGTAGTAAAAAAACGTTAATTCTGATTGAAATGACGTCTGATACAAAGATTAAAAGAATGGTGGCGCACCCTATTGCATTTTAAATTAAAGAAAGTAAAACATTATGCGAAAAATAAAGTTTGCATCTTCTCTTCTAAATAAATTGATTCTTTCTGCTGACGAAATTAGTGGTGTCTTTAGGCGCTGCATTCAATGTCTTCGAGCGAAAAGTGTTGCAAACAATCAGTGGACACCCTCTAATTCCCCTTTCCTCTTTTCTCAAGTGGTGTGTAGACAACCGCTTGAGCCATAATGAAATAAAAAAAATGAAGTTTCATAAGTACTTGTGCAATTCCCGGTAGTACAAAGTTCAGCAATGAACCGATTTTAATTAAATTTGACCTGGTGGGACTCATTATCTACACGTGTTTATAATCACTCCATCTTCGTCTACCTTCCATATGCACTATTCTATGTAACAATCAAATCCATTTATCCTCCTCTCTACCCAAACTGACAGCATCTAATCCAAATCAGTGAGCGAACAGCTGTCAGACCAGAGCCAGAATCTGTTTTAATAGCTTCCATAATAGAATTAAGCTTTCCTATCCATCTCATTTCCCATTCCTCCGGAACCACACAATCACGTCCACTGTGTTGGAAACGGTCAAATTCAACCCGGAAAGCTTCAGACCACACTGATAATCCGACTATTTAATCCTATAACAGGAGCCTCCGCTACCAATGCACAGTGGGCCATAAATGCAATTTAGGCGACAATCCCAATATCGTTTAACCGAATCATTTCCGAAACTTGGGATATCAGGTGGACGAAAATCCGAGGGGCACGCAATAGCCTTTTTGACTGCGTTGGATTTAAAGTACAAGGTGTTTAACTATGTACTTAAGTAATTAAAAATGAAAATTAAGTATTTCATGTAATTAAATTTAATTTCGCGTAATCAAAGCAGTGCCAGTGTAATTACTGTAATTAAAACACGTACCTCAATTTGATTACGTAATTAATGTAATTAAAAATTAATTTTCTGTAATTAATGTAATTACAGTTACACAAATGTAATTAAAAACGTACCCAAATCCTTATTCTTGAACTATTAAAAAAAAATGAAGAAAACCTCGAATGAATTTATTTATTCAAAAACTCTTCTTACACCCTGAAATACGCATATTAATGTTTTACTAGACTACAAACATGACCAATTCTGCGAATACTTATACTTAATTTCTTGGAGCACCATGCTAGAGTTGGAAACTGAAATAATCCACTCGCGACAATCGATTTCACTTTCGTTTTGTACGTTCAACATAATGTCGTATCTAGTGCACTGTATTCGTTGAATAATGCGCTTTAATGCAGAACTAGAATAAAATCGATTGTCACGAGTGGGTTATATCGGTTTGCAACTCTAGCGACAATATACAGTGAAAAGGAAGTGATACTCATAATGAGGGCCGTGATTTCCATACAAATGAAATGGGAATCACTTAGTTGTGACGACAAGTCTTCAAATTTTACATTTCCTTAAATTCAAGCAATTCCTCGAGCAAATTTCCTCCCGATCAAAAGAATTTTGGGCCATGCTCGCAGCACAGTTCGACAGATGATGATATTAGATTCTGCCTGAATTAACAGATTCAATGGAAGATGTATTTGCATTTGCATTAATGTTCTGATGTTACGCGTGAATTCTTCGATTATTTCAATATCTTTTTCAAACTTAATATTATTGTACTAATAATAATTAACAGATTTAAGGCAGAGTTCATTAACAAAAAAAAATATAATCAGGTTTTGGTTGCAGACACTAAGATGATTCAAACCAATTGTGTGCTTTTATTTTTATTATCGCCATCATATGATCACATCCGTATTCAGAATTCACGCGATAGCACTTATGAAATTCGCATCCCCATTGTCCGTCTTTCCATGGGTCAACTAAACAATACTATGGGCAGAACTCCAAACCGATAGGAAACGATGAGTCCCATGTGCACAGGACACGAAATGATCGTTACCAATCAACTTGACACGCTCAAGTTATCC